CATATTTCATTCTAACACGTCCTTTTCTCTAGCTGTCCTTTGAAATTTTCTGTTTAATTATTTTAGTTTATCAAATCTTCCATTTTCTTTAGCGATTCTGCATTCAAGAGTCTCTTCTCACATCCACTGTGGCCTTTTATTTCTTTCCTACTTTTTAAAGGTCTTTTGCTTTCTTCATGTGTGATGTTCTAGAGTCATCCCATAGCTCATCAGTCATTAATGTATAATGTACCAAATCTGTTCTTGAGATGGTCTCTAAATTCAGGCAGGGTATACTCAAAATCATATTTTGGGTCTTGTGGGCTTGTTTTAATTTTCTTCAGCTTTAGCTTCAACTGGCATATGTGCAATCAATGGTCTGTAACACAATTGGCCCCTGGCCATGTTTTGACAGATGATATTGAGCTTGTCCATGGCCTCTTCATACAGATATAGTCAATTTGATGCCTATGCATTCCATCCAAGTAGGCCCCTTTGTATAGTTATCATTTGTCTTTTTTTTTTTTTTAAGGTATTTGCAATGAAGAAGCTGTTGGTCTTGCAAAATTGTATTGTGCAACCTCCAGCATCATTTCTAACACCAACCACCAATCCCCCACTCTTTGCTTTTAACTTTTGCATTTCAGTTTTGGCCAATTATCAGTGTATCTTCATTGCATGTTTGATCAGTTTCAGACTGGAAAATTTGTTAGAATTATCCAGTTTATTCATCATTGGTTTTGGTAGTTGATGCAAAAATATGAATAATAATTATATTATGTTAAATGCTATCGAGTCAGTTCCAACTCATAGTGACCCTGTATGGGGTTTCTGAGTAGTAACTGGTGAGTCTGAGCCCCGTATAGATATCTGTGACAATCCTGTCACAGATAGCATTGCATTTCAAGATATCTCGAAATTTCCTTTTTGATAATGAATGTGATATTACTCCTGTTGAATTTGTCATTCCTAGCATAGTAAACCATATGACTGCATGATTCAAAATGGCCAATGCCTTTCTATTTCAGTTCAATATACCCTTGGATACCATTCTTCATGCTTTTCATCTCATTTTTAATGACATGCAAGCACTAGATTCATACATAGTATATTTCACTTTCTAATTAATGGATGCTTGCAGCTATTTATTCTCATTTTGAACCATGCCCCATCATCAAAAGAAGGTCTTGAAAGCTTTACCCCATCCTTGTCAATAAGGTCAACTCTACTTTGAAGTGGTAGCTCTTCCTCAATTCTATTTTGAGTGCCTTCCAGTCTGAAGGGTTCATCTGCTGGCACTATGTCATACAGTGTTTTGCTGATATTTAAAAGGTTTTTAGAAGCTAGTCTTCAAGAAGTGCACAGCCTATTCTTTCTTCCTAGTATGTCATAGTCTAGAAACTCTGCTGAAATGTATTCACCATGGGTAACACTGCTAGTATTTGAAACACCAGTGGCATACCTTCCATTATGACAACAACAGAAGATTGGCGTTGTCAAAAACTTCATTTGGCTAGGACCCACAATCAACACTCATGGAAGTAGCATTCAGGAAATTGAAAGATGTATTGCATTAGGGAAATCC